CTCAAAATGATAAAAATTGAAATTAAAAGTGTTAAGTGAAAGATATTGATACAAAGAGTTTGTTTGTTTGTTTGTTTGTTTGTTTGGGTTTTACGTCACATCGACACAGTATAGGTCATATCGCGACGTTCCAGCTTTACTGGTGGAGAAAGACCTCAGGTGCCCTTCCGTGCATTATTTCAGGCACGAACGGGCACCTGAGTAGAACCACCGACGTTCCGTAAGCTAGCTGGATAGCTTCCTCACATAAAAGAATCCAAAGTCCCTGTCGGGATTCGAACCCACAGCGGTGAGGGGCAAGTGGTTTGAAGTCAACGACCTTAACCACTCGGCCACGGACGCCCTAAACAAAGAGTAAGAACATAAGGTAAACGTTTCATTTATAAAAAGGAAAGGCTTACTTCCACGTACAGACCCATTCAAACTGAGCCTTCAATATTTTCGCTTTTGCCGTTTTAGGGATCCTGTTTTTCTCTATTTGTTAGGTCTAGCATGCTTAGTAATACGTTTTGCTGACATTTACAAAGTTGTAGTTGTGCATATTCTTATTTTCTTATACTGAACTAATTATATGAACCAATTTTATCTGTAATGCTTTGACACATGTTCGAAAGATTATTTTATGTCAAAATGGAAATGTATTGTTTATTATTTTTATTGTTTATGGCTGTGGAACGAACATTTCACTGTGTATTCGAATGAACAGATAGCAATATTAAATTTTATGACATGCCTTTCAGTGGACAGTGAAATAGTATTTTCATCATATCACAGTGAAGTTATTAAATATATGTTTCACCATAGCCAGCCGGACTATATCTGAATGCGGATTAAAAGAGTATATCTTAGATAACTGACTCTTTGATAGGGGAATAGTTTGAAAAGTGTTTGAATGCGGAGAAGCAATATTCCTGGCATCAAATGCTTTATTGGCGTCACATCTTACGGCATGTGACGTGTATCCATTCTGTCTTATACCTTTTTTTATCGTGCAATAATGCAATCAACTGTCTGTTTAATCGTGGAATAATGTAAAGCGTGTTACAATCTAAATTAGACTGGTATATCAGTACATGTTCCCTTTGATTTATTGATTTATTTTGTATTAACATATTTCTAATCTCGGAATTAAAAACATCACTTACTCTTAAAAAATCGTTCACATTTCAATAGAAAATAGGGTATATATAGTTTTATACAAAGTGTTAAACAAGCAAATATTTGTCGTAGTAGCTACTCGAATCTTTAAGAATTTCACTGGCAAATATATTGTGATTTTAAATATTAAAATTATGGCATCCAAAGAGTTATATTTGGAGCGGCTAATTTCTTTCGAAAGTAACAACAAGTCAAAAATATGTTTACATCATCTTATAAAGTCATAATTACTGTTTATATGAAATAAAAGATAAACTGTAGATCACTATTAAGAATACTGAAACAATCTTAACACTTATATACATTAATCTAACTGTCTGCTCAAAATTTGATTATAACAGACATTTTATATGCGAGTCAAAATTTCGAATTTTGATTTACATCATATGGTTTGAATAGAATAATGGTGTGATTGGCAAACAAAAATATACTGATCAGCTGTGTTAAGCTTTGGTTAAGATAGCAGTGACATGCAGATATAATACAAAATTAGTTGTGCAGGTAGATTGTTAATATGTTTTTGTTTTGCTTTGTTGTTTATTTTTCTTTCGATGAAATATAAGTGTAACGTATTTCTTTGCAATACACTTCAAACGTTCATCCCTATGAATTAATCAACTCTTTACAAAGTCACTTGGTTTTGCAATTTTGAAAAAATGGTGGCAGTGAAACGATGAATAGCTTTTGTTGTTAATAGAATTTTTTATCTTTGTGTTCGTTTTTTTTTTTTTTTTTTTTTTTTTTTTTTTTGTTTATACAGAAATATCAAAATTTTTGAAAACAAAACAGATATATTTGAAGATTAACTAACCTTTCATGTTAAACTTGACTAAATTAAGTCTATGTACAGTCGCCGGGTTAGGCAATTCAAAAAAAATGTATCCTCAAAAAGATGAATACATACAGTACATTTCGAGATTAAATTATATTTGCATATGCTGCATTTAATTTCGTGTTTCAATTGGTTTTTCAATAAGAAGAACGAAATATAAACAAACTATATGAATGAAGAACAAAATAGAAACAAACTATATGTATATACGTAAATTGTAGTTAATGATATGTACATAGATTCAAAAATCTTTATCCATATCTGTGCTTCTTTGTTTGCAAGCATTGTGTGATTTGACTTGTGGAAATTAATTCCAAGAAACGTCAGAGATGTCAACCATAAAATGAATAGATATACGATATTAGTCTGGAGGTTATCGTACCAAATAACATCAAGTAGGTGATCAATAGTGTTCAATTTCTGTACTTTATGAGGTGTAATGTGAGAGTATAGGTTGCATGAAAATAGAGAAAAAACGGAATACTAACAGAAAGCCCAAAACGACAATGCAGGCTCGGTTTGGTTGCGCCTGATCATGGACGGTGCTGAAAGGTGCAATTTACTGTCCACTCCCTTAGCATCGGTTTAAGTAGAATTCAACAATTAATCATGGTAATGATGTTACTAAAAATTAGCTATAATCTCAACTTGAAGTGATCCTTCTGGTGTCCCCGGGTCCATATTCGAGATAAATGCAAGTTTAGATAAATTATATAGTTATATAGTTTTCATTCTGCCTATACAAGTCTATATAAAACAGACAAAATAAGAATTCCTAAAGAAACTCCAAAATAGCAAAATTGAAAATGTTGTAGGCTCGGTTAGATTGTGCTGTTCTGTTCATTAAAAACTATAGCAAATTTCTTTAATCCAAATAACATCATTCTTATGTTAGATAATTATTATACCTTATAAGGGTTAACTATAAGTTGAGATAAATAAAAGCCTCTCGGATTTCTAGCTGAAATTTCTATAGATATAATGCAAGTCAATCACATAAACTATCTACACTCCGGAAATGTTGTTGATGATTCCATTTTGTAATCAAAGTTCACAATCTATAAGAAACCAGATGGCTGTTATAAGATAGTTAGGTTTGTCTCTCGCAGGGAGATAAGACATTAACTTGGAAATTTTCTGTGCATAGCATATGGTGTAGGATCTGTTTAAAAACCATTGGTGTAGTTTTAAAAGATCAATGCGAATGTACTTAACTTGAGAACAGAGAAAAATAGGAATCTTTAAAGAATGTCCAAAACGACAAAATTGAAATTGTTTAAGGTTCGGTTTGATTGAGCCTGTTCATGGACGGTAGTGTCAAGTGCAAACCATCGTCTGCGCCCCGTTGCATCGGCTTAACCAGTAAATTCAACATTTTAACATGAAAATGGTGAAATTTTTAATTTAAAAACATCAGCAGATGTATTCATACGTCCAGACGTCAAGCTCTTTTAATATACATGGCTGCAAACATAGATTAATATTCAGCAAACGAAATCTTGTTCATTGGAGAATGTATAGAAATATTATTCCATAATATGTTTGTACCATGAGGGGCTATACATGGCCATATACTGATTTACTTTAAACTGAGAATGATGTTAATAAGCAGCGATACAAAACGCAAGGAATTAAGTATTAAAACATTGATGATGGAGCATACAATGCCTTTACAATAGGTTGATACATCAAAAGGTTTAATACTTAGAAAATATCATTATTTTATATCTTTTTTTATTATCTACACAAGTGTATTTTTATTTTCCTCGACCATTAAGTGTTTGTTGCTATGGAAACAAAGCAGCAAAAGCCTTCGTCAAAGCAACGGAGGGAAATAATAAAAATAAATGGATCCATTATTTTCACACATAAGGTTTATATAAAAACGACATTTTGTCAGAGGAGAATCAATAAAGTAGTACAATATGAGTACAGTACGTGTATTCACTCTAAGTTGTGGTACAATCTAGAACAAACTGTTGTTGGATGTCATAAATATATGACATTTCTTTAATTAACTGAAGATTCATATACCTATATTTCCCTGTTGAAACAATCAATATAATAAATGTACGTTTCTATATACACTATGTAAAAACAACTGCAAATTTGCTATCAACCAAACTTCCATCTTATCAGCTATAGCAATAAATGATACACTTAGCAAATGTTAAGAGACTGCAAATAATTATGAAACATGTGATTCAAACAGTTGCCTGTTCTTCACTATCAAGATCAAATCAAACAACAGTTTGTTGACACATCAATGCTCGATTGTAATGCAATGTTATACCCCCATTAAAATATTTGTTTAGCAACATTGTATTTTGTTTTCCCAGCTCTTGAACTAGCATATGTAAACTTTATTTTTAATGAATAAAACATACAAATGCTCGTCAGCCTGCATTATGGGGAAGATATTGCATTGAATATTAAATTTATAATCTTAATTTGATGCTAAATACAGCGAAAAACTATGGTTCACAAAGTTAATGTACGTTGTTGTAAGTGGTAAATATGATTCTCTATTGTATTCAATGGTAGATGTAACATAAAGATTAAGGAGAGCATTGTATCGATTTTTTAAGATAGGAACTGCAGGCATGCTGTCCTAACGTATTTAATTGACATAGGTTTCCATTATTCTTTCATTAGTTTATCAATAATACATTGCAAAATTTCGTTAAATAAATCTTCGTTTCAGAATCTTTTGTTTATTTTCTGTACAAAAACCATAAAATTTTCCCTTAAAATTTTTTCATTCGAGTTCTCAAAATAGCGGGAGGATATTTCCCCCTGTTTGAATGTGTTGAATAAAGGATCAAAAGTTTTATGTTTCAATAATACATCTGTATTCAGACTGCACACAGTAAAAAAATCATCTTATGATTTATTTTTGTATAGGTTTAAAAGCATTTTTTTTAAAAAAATCCCTTATCAGATAAAGGTTATATAAATTTGGAAAACAAGCTAAATATTAATGTAAATATGGCTGTAGACAAACGTAGAATGTTATTGTTTTAATGCATGTGAAATACATGTAAAGTAAAAAAATAAACAGAGACATTGGCCATCAATATGGCAACGAGTACGACAGATGACATGCCAACCGTCTTGGATACCATTGATAGTCACTTAACCAAATCGTGCCAGTACCCAATTCCAGTACTGGAAAACACAGTCAATATGGATAATTTACAAGTACCAAGAAAACGTGTCACGTCTTTTAAAATATTAAATGAAGATGACTTGGATATATATCTACATGAAGACATCAGACCAAGAACGCGTAGTATGCCTACAAGAGGCACCATTAAAAGGCCCGACACACTGCAAAGAGCACTCTTTAGGTTGAGAAAGGACGCTGATGATGACACTTATAAAGTAAGGTCTTTTGAAATTAGTTCAAAGGGGATAATAACAAAGCGGATGGATTCCCAAAGGTCAAGGAGTACAAATAGTCTTGACTGTTCACGGGTTGACTTTTATTCCCTCCTTTCTCCCAGAACCAGTACAATCTCACAGGAGGACATAAGTATTCTCTGGTCAGCGTTACATCCAACCAGGATCATGGTTCTTGGGCAACCCGGCGTTGGAAAAACTGGACTTACACAACAATTTATGACGTTGGAATATTTGGGAGGGTTTAACACCAGCGTTGGTGAGTCATCAAACATACTTTTATTTGTATATTGTAATTGCATCGGTCTTCTTGTTAGCAAGATAAATCCATAGACATATCAGATCAAATAAATAAATTTTCTTTTCTTTTTGTTTCCCCTAAAAATGACCTTTAAATCAATGAAAGATAGCCTTTTCAAAAACATACTCGGAAATGAACGTTTTGCAGTAATCCTACAATAGTTGTTCTAAATTCAAATTTACTTTTACTTTGTGTATTTTTCATTTGAGTCTTAATGGATAACCTTAAATCATAAGATTTAATATAGTGTCTAAGTAACTTTTGTACTTTTGTTGCTCTATTTTAGCTATGTCACATCGCACGGATTTAATGACAACACGAATAGTTCATTCAACTGTCTGTCTCAAAATTGATCTGCAATTAAAGCAGTAAAATATATATTTTAAGTGTCGATCAAAGTTTAAACAAACGTCAAGGCAGTATTACAAATAGGATTTTTATGTTTTATTGTTCTTTATTGACTGTTAAAAAAATCTATTCTTTCTTTTTCATATTCAATTTGTTAAAGTTCAATTTGAAAAAAATGTATTGTCATTCAAGGAATTATACTGATATCTCTTCTTATCACTTCTCTGAAAAAAACCTTTAAGTATTTTATTTGGTTTAATTTAGGTAATAAGTTATATTTCGTACGGCTTAATATGTAAACAGAAACCAAATCTATCCAATGATGTAACTGATGAAAATCCTAGTCGTTGTGTTGGTATTTATAGTGCAGTTTTGTTAGTATTATTGGTGTGTATGCAATTATGTATGTGACAAAATACAACAAGTATTGAAACAAAATAAAGTGAAGCATATTACAGTGTTTTAGAATTTAATGACACTGCTTCAGTTGTTAGTGGTAATAATTTATAATTATTTTGAAATAATTCGTTTATGAATTTTGATTTTTATGTAACATAAAAATAAGCCGTTAATTTGGGTTTGAATTATCAATTTTTCCACTAAAATGCATAGTTCATTTCACCGTCTGATGTAATATTTAGTGAATTTCGATATGTTAATGTACATTAAATAACTTTAGAGATGAACAAGAAAGAAATCGGTATGTATGGTGTTGCACTCAAATTGAAGCTTTCATTATCAAGTACTTATTATTGTATGATAAAGAGTCTTTAAAAAGCTATTTATGGTTAATATGCCGATTACATAATGACGTTATGGTACATGAATTGTAGATCTGAAATGAGTTTTGAGTGCTTTGTGCTAAAATATACAAAAGATTTACATAATGCTATATACGCTATTGTATAATTTATTGAGCGCCTCGCACGTTAGAAATGACCACGTCTCAACTTGGAGGACAAATTCAGGTTTCCATTTAACACTGTGAATATCAATTCACTTGTTTGGAACATATCAAGTTTACGTAGTGCTTAGTTAAACTGGCCTGTCGTTGCAAGTTATATCGGCACTAATGTGACACTCCATCGACACGAAAAATCTCCATCGACACAGAAAATGAAACTCACACATATATATATAACTATATATTCTCATAAAACAATAGGGTAAAAATGTTTGTGCTATATTTATGTTTCACAACTTCCACATCATATCTTCTAGATTTATGTTCTACTACGTGAACATCATAACATTTTAAAATACCTTACAAAATTCGTGTTAAATGATAATTACCGTTTTATAATAGCATCGTTGTAAATCAAATTAAAACTGACTTACAAACAAATAAATCGGGAGAGAAATAATTTAGAGTAGCTATTCTTAGTTTAGGTCAACTTTTAGTATCTCGATTTCCGAAAAATAGATTGCCGTCCATCGGAACAAGCGTATTAAGGCATTTTGTATTCAAAGACATAAAGCAGCCTTAAGCCTTGATTTAAAGTTAAATAGAAGTACACTTTATGTTTGATCAACTTAGTCCATTCTTTTCCACGGTCCATTATTATATTTATTGGGCACGTTCATTTGTCCGAATTAAATTTTACTCGTTCCATATACAGTAGAAATTCTATTAGTCGAACTTCGATTAGTCGATTTTCTCGATGTGTCGAAGTAAAATGAAAGTCCCGATTTTTTCCCTTATATAGTCCTTATAAAAACCTATCTATGAGTCGAGTTTTATGTGTCGAGTTTTTCGATGTGTCGAAGTTTTTTCGTGGTCTGTATAGAATAAATCTAGTACAATTTACCACAAATAAGTCGAAGTTATTCGGTTTTTTGACACCTTTGATCTCGAGACATTTTCACACCTTTTCTGGCCGCGAAGACGATTTCCGATCAACTTTAGTGATAGGTGTAAATTACACAGCCGAGTGTTCAAACAGCCTTTGTATGCGTTTAAATATGTGAAAACATGCTTTAATCACTACTATTTTAATTGCCGTAGAGGTATTTGAAAGAACATGTAAACAGTAAGAACTATCATTTGAGTACGTCCGTGACCCGGTGTCGCGTGATAATCACACGCGAAATATTTACTATAAGCTGGTTTAGTTATTGCCCTTTCGTATTGTTACGCCTTTTGTAACTTCATTGTATACGTCAACAGGGAGTCCAAATCATTAGCCTTGAAAAGTTAAAATGTCATATTTATCATTGTATAGACAAGTGTAAAATATCAGATTAATGAACGAAAGAAAAACATGAAATAGGTTATGTTATAGATCTAATAATTAGGGCTAGTCACGGGTTGAATTTTTGTTATGAAATTCAGACCGATTCATGAGTCGAAGTCCCGATGTGTCGAAGTTTTTATGCAAGTCCCTTCCCACTTCGACTTACATAAAATGATAGCATGTTATTCATGATTTTTCAACGGCGACCAACATAATTTAGGTCATATGGCGCCGAAAAAGGAAAGATGATCGAGGCCAGCCAACACCATATTTTTTCTGTTTCCTAAATTTCAAGTGTGCCGTAAAACAAAACAAACAAACATAAAAAATACATTCTATGTAACTATATGGAACAATTATAATTTGATTCGGACAATTCAACATGTCCCTTAGATATAACAATGGACCATTACAGAATGTTATACAAAAATCAATTATATTAATCAGTTCAATATCAGTCATATATCCTAGGGAACACAAACAAGTGCAAACAGTATAACATGTTTCCGCTGAAATCCCAAACGTATTATCATGATGCAGGAATAAATTGTTTTTTGTTTGATGATGAAAATGGAAAGTATCAACAATGTGGAAATTATTTTAATCATCAGCAAAGGATGAACAATTTACAATTTGGAATCGAATTATAATATCATGCTTCATTATTTTATCACGAAAATGTATCGTAAAAACGGAAAGTGTATACCTTGGATAATAAAACGAAAAGCCCATAAATAGTTAGGCTGATTGTTAAGGTACAAACGCTTTGTCCGACGATTAATGCGATAGATAGAGTAACTATGTAATCCTGACGTTGGAAATTCATTGAATTTTTATTAATAATTCATATGTATGGAAAACACTCAGTTTTGAAGAAACTCTACTGAGGTCCAAAAACCTAAACATATTTCTTGTTTTATTTACATAAATCAGTATGGGCACTTAAAACAGAAAGGTATGCAATCGATGAAAATGAATTACATGTATACTCAAATTAAATTGAAAATCGTGTAATTGTGAATATCTTTAGCACTTTTGGGTCATTTCGCACAATAACAATAATTATTCTGGAAAAAAGGGAGTGAAGGAACGGTCTGAAATTTTGCTCACAAGTTATTGGTCTAGACTTGCTTCAAATGGAGCATTAATCTAAAATTATTATTATATTGAGTTTCTGTTTTTATTGCATTTGACTTATTCAGATAATTCAAATTTGAAGATAGTCTTAGGACCTCTCCTTTTAATTTTTCTTGATATAGATAAAGCTAACTGTTGTTAATGAATATTACAAAGTACATGACATTTCTAGTGTTCCTTTTGGACAGATTTAGTTCCCAGATAATTATGGCAATAATACAATTTTACATACAAGTTCTCTGAAAGCTTTTCTGACTATTCCTTTATTAAGCGACTTTGTTTTACATAAAGTCCATTTTCCAGTCATGTTTCCTTATCTAATTGAACCGATATTGCAGACGACAAATATACGAATTGATATTAGTTACATGAAACTCTAATATGATTAATCAATATCGCCAATAGCCGATAAATAATATGATATATTATGTGTACATAGTTAAAACAGTTTGATTTTTACTACTACTATTATAATAATAATAATAATAATATTAATAATAATGATGATGATAATAATAATTATTATTATTATAATTATTATTATTTTTTTATTAAATATAATTATCATTATTATTATAATTATAATCATCATCATCATCATCATCATCATCATCATCATTATCATCACCATTATCATAATTATTATTATTTTTATTATTATTATTATTATTATAACGATTATTATTATTATTATAACGATTATTATTATTATTATTATTATTATTATAACGATTATTATTATTATTATTATTATTATTATCATTATTATTATTATTATTATTATTATAACGATTATTATTATAACAATTATCATTATACACTTTAATTACGTTTTTAAATCGTGCTGTAGTTGAATCATTTATCATTTGCTTTGAAAAACAAATCCGCTTCAAACTATTTCAAATGTTTTGTCCCATCATGATATCTAATCATCCCAGCCAGGATTGTCGTATTTATATATTTATAAGATGCAAATTAGCATGTAAGAAATGACAGAGTGGTTTGTAAGTTTATTTTTACAGTTGTTTTACGTCCAAAATAACATAAATGTTTTATACATGGTGCACAGTATGGTTACTGGTTATGAGTTTGTAATATCAATATTATGCTGATTTTGTCCTTGGCGGAAAAGAAATATGCAGCTGATAAATGTCATTTCTAGATAAAACTTCTTGTCTTGATTGTTTGGATTATATTTTGTGTCAAAATTTGAATTGCTCTGGAAATGTGATATAGGTATTGCAGAATGTAGCATACCATGCTCCGATTCGTAAAGAAAAAAAAGAGATGAAAACACGAGCTCCGAATCTTTACAAAAATATAGCTCCGACTCGTTACAAAGACAGAGTTTAAACCATACTCCAAATGTTTCAATATAAGCCCATACAGACATGTTTGTCAAACTGCTTTAATAAACTTTTTTAATATTTCAATCTAACTTCATTTTAAATCTATTTACATTGAGATATTTCAGTGAAATTATTTAAGATTTCACATGTTTACATCAAATGTTTTGAAAGTATATGCGATTTTAGAGTTGGTATATGACCAACTGTAGTTTACTTGGTTGAAGTAAATGTTTTTATATTAGAAAAGTACAGAGGTTGAACATTAAATAAATGAAAAATCCGACTCGCGTGATTTGGAGTAAATAACAAAGCACAGACAAATACGAATTCCCTGCTGCATAATCATTTTCTTTTCAGGATATCATGATCTGGTATCTGTCTATTACATAAAACCCCGTTACTAGTTTAATACAAAGTATGTGAAACATGCCTCATATGAATCTTTTAAAAGGGGGCACCCCGAGGTTAAATTTAATGAGGACTGGAAATAAATTTCCGGATTTTTTATAAAAAATTAAATACATGGCTTTTTGGCAGACTTTCAGATCATTCATTTGCTATATTTTTTAAATCATTTTATTGTGCAAATTACATAAAAATGAAATGCGTGTAAACGCTTTAACCTTAAATTGGGCTAAAAATCGCTGTTACTAACGATTTTCAAATAAATTTTAAATATATTTAAACAATTATCTTTTTTCATATGTTTCTGTTTTAAATGCCCATGTTGATTATGTAAGATTTTACAATAAAAGAAAATAATTACAAAATTTCTAAAATAAAAAATAATTATAACATGCTTTTGGACCTCAGAGGAACCCCTTTAAGATGACTGTAAAACGGCAAAATTATGCCCGTAATAATCGATTTATTATTACGCCTGTTAATACGCTTGTTACAAACTACCCAGATAATAATTACATTTGTAAATATTTCGGCGGTCAAGATTTGTCAATGGCTATTAATATAAAAGTGCCAGATGTTTATTGACTTGCGCTCACAATAATACCAAAGGTCAAAGCATGGTTAAAGCAAAACGGCGTAAATTGTCAATTTCTAAATCGAAGATAAAAGTATTGACGGAAGAATTTGCAAGTGAAGTATTACATTATGTAACAATAAAACAAAAACAACATTTCTAAACGAAGATAATCTATTAATGCAATACCAATTCAACATTTATACATAAATATTATTAAGAAGCATCCAAACTATTAGAAAACCAAACCCTTTGGGAATCAATCAGAAAAACACACGTAACATGTATAGTATATAATTTTTTTGTTATATGAAAAATGGGTTTTAATGAGTAATAAGCAAGCTGTTTTAAATCCTTACTACTCACACAGGTTTTAAAGATCCGTCTTAAAAAACAAACACGAAAAATTTTTATGTAAATCTAAATACGAATCTTTCCGCCATTCTTTATCTTCATATTAAAGTTATCACTATTACGAGAAGCATCACCATTCATGATAAAGGGCTATTATAAACATTAGATTGATTTTGTACAATATTTTGATTCATTTGGGAACACTCTGTTGGAGAGCGTATGTTATTGGCATGTGTTTCCGTTTTTACGGCGTTTTAATGTCAGAACAAAATATACATTTATTTAACTCCGCCATTTATTACCAAATAGTTTAGCAAAATGGGAATCTTTTGAAGTAGATTTGTAAAGAAAATACCGAAGCTTGATAAAGAATATAATACATCAAGAAGCTATGATTTGTTTGACAATTTCTCAGGCTAGGACATTAACAATGGCATTTTGCTGTTTGCCATCTAAGTAATTGACTTTGTATGGATATATTTATCACTTAACTAGCGCTCATTATATGCTAAAGGACAACATATAATTGCTTCATGAATCGATGCTCACCGTTATCTGTCGCGGAGACAAAACTTCTTATCATTACTGACATATGGTACAAGTTATTCAGAATGTCTTAAGAGAGCTCTTCACAAACGCTTAGTAAAGCGTTTTAAACAATATTTTTATCTAATTACCTTGGATATACGATACGCGCAATAAGTGTTTATGACAACATTTCATGTAATAAAGAATAACAAAATAATTCGAAATGCATGGATAAATGCATGAACTTTTCCGGAAATATAAAATGTGATTACATGGATATGATACCGGACATTATATTCTGATTGCCTGTTATTTTGGATGACAAAAAATAACAGCGATCATGTTAACAATTCCGGATGGCGATGAAGATGGTCTATACGGACAATATACTTTTGGCTCCGTGTTAGAACATACTGAAAGTAATAATATTAATATTCTGCCAACGCCAAGAAAACGTGCCACGTCTTTTAATAAGGTAAAAGAAAAGAACTTGGACATATTCCTTCATGATGACATCAGACCTAGAACACATAGTATGCCGACGAGAAGTTCATTCAGGAAACCAGATACTCGTCACTTGCAACTTGCCCGTTTGCGATTAAATAAATACATTGACAATGAAACATACAATGTTAGATCTTTCGAAATTAGTTCCAAAGGAGTAATAACAAAAAGACCTGATTCAATACGCACAAAAAGTACCAACAGCATTTACTCTCCAGATGGAGACTTTTTAAGTACATCTCCGCAATCAATTATATCTAGCTCACTCTCAAAAGAAAGTTTGCGGGTATCTCCAAACACAGTGTCTCTTCCGGCACTGCCTCCAATACACGTAATGATTCTTGGTGAACCTGGTGTGGGGAAAACAGGTTTGGCGCAGCAATTTATGACATTGGAATATTTGGGAGGATTTAATACTAGTGTGGGTGAGTTATAAAATATTCCTACTAATTTAAACTAAAAATTACATTCTTTAACTATAAAACTAACTAAATTATCAGTATTGTACCCGCTGATTTGTATTATCAAAGAAAAAAGAGCATCTTGCTTAGTCATCGTCTTCAAAATCAAATAGCTTGTGCTATCATTTATATACATGTATTTGATTCAAGATATATACAACTCAAAGAGGTTTTATGCAACATTTTTCGCCGGATATTGAATGGTAGATTTTATAGAAAGCCTGTTTGTTTTAATACATTGAAAAAAAAACATGCGAAACCTAAGACTATTTTTACACATTTTTCATCAGTCAATGTCTATGAACATAGGTCTAACAGAACGTTCTTTGCGATAAACTCATGCGCTTTATTTTAAAACTCAATTTTCGCAATTTTTTTCTTATTTTATCAAAATATATCTTGTGTATGTTAAAAATGTGAACAAATGCTATATTTAAGCTGTGGGTGATGAATCGCGTAATAAATGCTGCACTTTTCGTATTTAATTACTTTTATTATATCATAATGTTTTGGCTTGAATTAGCTTGTTTTTTGGTTATATTTAATTGCTTCGGTCATATCGACTATCACTAAAATGTAATGAATCCATTGAAGTGCACATACTAAAATCCTAATACACATCACATCGAGAGGGAAACCTTTCACCAGTACTGATGTAATGAAGATTATGCGAGTTATTGCTTAGGCTTAACCAGAGAAGACACATATTGAACAAATCATGTTTTATTGGATTGTCACATTGTAAAGTCACGTCCCCATTTTTGCCGTTCTTCATACAATGCCACGAAAAAGAGAATATTGCAAAAGTAAATAATTGCTTCCCGATGGTCCAATGTAACGATTGTTAATGTAATAAGAAATAAAAACAAGATAAGATTTGTTGATGTTTGTAGTATTGATAATGTGTTTGTGACGGTTGTATTTTATTTTATGCGCATGTTTATCCTTTCCAAAGTACGGATTATTTCCCATAATATTCGATATGGTCGTCTTCATATAACGCACTAATGTCAAGTTTGATTTATTTAATAGTTACATCCAAATGTTAGGAAAACCTAGAAGTACAGATAATCTGACACAATATCACGTGATTGTCTTTACAATTTTTGGAATCGCGACAGCATAACTGAGTTTGTAAAATAGTTATTAAGTCAAAGAATGTAATAGAAGTTTCTTTAATGAACCATGATGATTTTAGAATAGGTTTACAGCAATTAATAAAAGTCGTGTTTGATGTTTTATTTTATAACGAAAGTTAAATCAATGGGAAAAGAGAATAACTGTCCATGTTATAAGATACTCCATAATACTTACTATACTAGAAACCTAAAAGCAAAGGAGGCTCTTACACTTGTACAATAAAATTGTAACAGGACAGCAAAAACATTTAGTTTTTCAGAAGTAAAAATAATATATATTAATTATTATCTTTTTCAAATCTATATACACTGTAATATATCATAATATACAGATGTATAATATACGGTTATTGTCAGTTTATTGTAAGTGGTATTTATAGTTTAAAAACAATTTATAATAATTTGATTAATTATAGTTATTATTCAAATATCAAGTGCGTATAATTTCGGCAAGGTTTAATGTAATGACTTTGACTATGGCTCATATAACATATATATAATTATCATATGTGCGAGCAGTTATTTATGTGTGATAACAATTTCAAAGACCTAAATAATATACAGATATTTTTTCCGTTAAATGTCACATATCTAATATGTCATACCCAATAAGTACCGTTACTTCGTTGACTTCGTTGACTTATGTAGAAAACATTATCCAATTTCTATATTCATTTTTGAACTCTTCTGTTGGTCGTGTTTGTGTTGTAGAGAAACATTTGTGCCGACCTTGAAATGCAAGGCCATATGAAGTGTTATGCCAAAACAAAGCTGTACGCTGACCTTTGCTTTTTCTCCGAGAAAAAAATATATAATCACTTCAAGGATAAAACATTCATTCCATGAATTTCATGTATTCAAATATTTTATCTTGAATATTATATAAACTTTGATACTGAAAAAGAACCGTATCGTATGCAAGTAGTCAAAACAACGTTCCGTGCAAATAATATCTTTAACTACCAAATTTTTCAGGTTTTTCTTTGTCTGTACCAGCAATACTACGTTGAATTGATTATTTCATATAACTACCATATTTTACCATAGCTGTCGTCTGTACCAGCAGTACTTCGTTAAACTGACAATTTCATATAACTACCTTATTTCATCATAGCTGTTGTCTGTACCAGCAGTACTTCGCTGAACAGACATATAACTACGATATTTAAAATTATTACCCCTCACTTTTTTCGTAATGCTAATTTCCCATAGGCCTCTGTGAGTTATTTTTACTGTTAATGCAAGTGTACCACGTGACTAAGAATTTTGTACTGTTACATAGGTAACAGTATTTTTTAAGAGGTCACGTGGTCTATTTCCTAAATAAAATGAAATGAAATGGCCGCCATTTTGTTCTCGATTCATTCTTATTTTCAACGTTAAACCCCGATAGGACATCAATTTCTCCTCTTGAGTCCCTATGACACTCATAAAATTTAGTTGTTTGCACCCTGGTGAGCTTTTCGCGTATAAAATATCTTTTTGCTGAATAGTCGAAAAGTGAACATCCGTTTTCAACGGAAGTAATTGCAATGTAAATAATGTGTCAAACTGGAACATACAGACGATTTAAGCATGCAACAAAGGATTATTTAACAAATTTAGTCAGTGAAACGTTACAGATATGGTGGACATAGGATATCATCGTTATTTTTGTCAAAAACCATGCTACGAATATTCTGGAAACAGAAGGATCCGATTTCACAGATCATAACCGTGTAAATGGGTTAGTGTTTTGTTTCCTAAATAAAACCTAGCTTATTGTATGTTTATGATTTGTAGATATCATCACTTGCTTAAAGAATGAAAGAAAAAGAAAACTTCTCAAGTAGGCCTACGGTAAAGTACACTTAAAACTTAAAAGGTAAGGACAGTTAAATTATTGTTATTCTTGGTTTATTTTTGTTACAGTTAGATTTAGTTGACAATTTCAGATCATCTCAGTATTTTTGTTCGGGGTAATAAAATAAATAACACATGGGTTTGTGAGTAACAGTAAAAATATCATCCCTCGTAAAAATACTGTTACCCTCGGCTACGCCTCGGGTAACAGTATTTTCCTCGGGATGATATTTTTACTGTTACCCACAAACCCATGTGTTATTTATATACTGTCATCTGTACCAAACAGCTTTACAATATTGTCCTTATCTCTGCACAGTTGATGGATGTTCATGAAAGTAAGAGTTTTATAGCATTAATATTGTCCTTGCAAACTATATTGGTTATGGAATAATCATTTGCGCTGTAAATATTATGTGTAATACATTCGGAATCACTGTTATTCTTCATTCATTATGCATTGCATACAGTTTTAACTTTGAATCATGTTATGAAATATTCACATATATCATTTTTATAATGTGGGAACTTTTTATTTAAAAGAAAATTAACAGACGGCATGTTTTTAAAGCAAGTTAATACTTTTTACCCTGATATAACAGTGTATTTCATTAACGTTACACTTAAATGATATAACCTTCGATCCCTTTCACTTGTCCATAATTGTGTATAATTAAGGCAGTATACCCGATATAGTGTAAAATTGAATTGTGTCTCTACTGATCAATATCAGAAACTCAATAAAAAGGGTTGATACGGATACTATTGAAAATGGTATATATCGTAAATGTCATTATTTAGATCGTTTCATGAGCAAAAGTCACTAATTCACGTTTACATGGTAAAAGGTATTAGCACCTTATAATGGATGTCTCTGATAAAAGCATCTGATTACTGGTAAACAGTAATAGTTTCAATTATCAAATCGTAAAGGTCCATTTTTACCTCAGAAATAATTTTATTTTTATTTCTCAAACTCTAAAAAGCTTTTTATTTTGGTGGACTTATATAATGTTACTGATTGACCTGAACTATCTTTTTCTTCTGTTACAGTTTTAGTGATTAGGTATTCTATATAAAAGTTTAAAAAACTACTTTGTTTAGATTTTCCTACTTTTAGAACAAGTAATTTTACATTTAGCGCTACTTTCTTCAGATAGCAAGCATCTAACATGCTCTTATATTAAATCTATTCGTTTCTGAGACATAATGTGCCTTTAAATATAAGACTGTACTTATTGCTCTTTATTTGACTATATATATATATTTCAAACCCGGAATATACTCTATATAATCTATGTAATAAAAATGTAATTCAAATGATAGGCAAAATTGTTTTCAGTAGATAAATGCAAGCCTCTGATAGCCCTTGTGTCCGTCCGCTCCGGGTTTTGGTTTGGTGACTTCTGGGTGCCCTGCTTCGGTGTGTCGGGGGCTGCGTCCTGTGAACGTTGCCTTTGCCTTGTTGATCTTTATTCTTGTCTTCTTTGTCTTCTATTGTTTTGTTGTCTAAGAAATAACAGAATATTGTATGCTGCCCAGTCATAGGCTAGTGCAGGCTATCGATTCAAAAAGCGTATTTCTGAGGCAATAAATTACAGTATATAATGTTATGCTAAAAAGTTAACTATACGGAATTGTTTCATAAATTGTGTGTATGTGAAGTTGGTTTTAACAAAAGAAATATTACTTAAGAAATAAGGTTATATATGAGATGTAAGTGCTAGACTGCCTCAAATCCAAATAAATTACTACTCCCTTTTATAGAATATGTAGTGTTTTTTTTATTGTTGGGGGTTCTTTTTTTTGGGGGGGGGGGGATCTTTTTTTTTTAGGGGGTGGTCGGTTGATGTTGCTATTGTTGTTTTGATTATTGTTATAAAAATGTTATTCAAATGATAGGCAAAATTGTTTTCAGTAGATAAATGCAAGCTGATAACTATTTTGTTTAAATAATGAATAGTTTTGTCTACCTGCATCATAGACATTTTGTATATGTTTTTATAATTATATATAACCCTTTTGGCGGAGGGGTTTCCTGTAAGGGTTGAGGCATCAGAATTGCAGCCACCGTTTATCCCTGCGTGTTCGTAAGAGGCGACTAAATGTGTTTGATTTCGTACACTACTGGTCAATGCATCTCTTAGCTCCAGCAGGTGTGATGGTTTTGACCCAAGTTGTTGGTTTAAAGGTTAGCCAAGATCATCTTTCCAGTTTCGGCGCTGTGTTGGTGCGCCGTAAAACCAATAAAAAAAACCTTTCATTAATAACATTATTTTGGTTGATAAAAGGACATACGCCGTGATACAAACTAAGCAAGGAAGAGAAAAAGAAGGCTTTTATCTTATTGACAGATCACGTGATTATGATTCAGCTCATGGGAGGATATTTACTGTCAATATTTGATCTGCTTTATCAAACAATACAAGTGTTATTCGTCCTCTCAAGCTAGGATATATGAGTAAATAGTTAAACAAAAGATGTTGATGCATTATTTAAATACACACCACCTTTGTCCAACGAAGGATGCACATTTTATTTTGCATTATGAAACTTGTGATTTACTAGGGTTTATCTAATAGTACTTCAAGATTTCTTTTATGAATTCAGTGCCGAATAATAATTACCAGATAAACTTACCAATTACTGCCTTATGTTTAAATTTAAACAGGCGAAATGTTACTTAACTACCTTGTATAGTATATGATGATTGGCCACTTTCCAAATAATTTACATGGTAATGCAAATGATGATACAACCTGCGTTATTTCCGTAGACATATTCTTTATTTATAAGTAATCTTGAAGATTTTGATTAAAATTACTTATTTAAAACACATATTATGACCTACAATACAATTTCGTATGACTAATATGTTCATTTCGTTATAACAATAAGTGAATATATATACTGAGTAGTAGTTAAGGTTTGTATCCAGTTTATAACTGTTTCATGCTTGATGTAATTTTAAAATTAATGTGTTCATATAATCGACACAAACAGAAAAAGATGCGACTCGTACAAAACATATCTCCCGTAAGGTAAAAGATCACTTTCACAGCAGGGAACATTGACTATGTGCACGCCTTATTCTGATATATGTTTGACTGTAGTATTGTAGTAGTATTGTAGTCTATACCTGAATGCATGATTGAATTTCATCATTTACCTTAAACATTATAACGCTAAAACTTGTTAATGTGCCGTCAAATGTTGCGGGGCGATGCCTCCGTGTCCTCTAAACATATGCCTGGTTTCATTTGTTTCATAAAAATATATAACACATAAATGAATCAATATTGTCATGAAAAGTTTTGAAATTGTATGCTGAATATGATGTAATTATACTTTGCATTTTAGACATCTGTAAAATATAGTAAAATATATATAGCGTTTGATGCATATCATGTAAATTCGAGTGAACGAATACATCACTTCTATTATCAGGAATATATTACTATTTTTAAAGCCTATTCTATGCATTGTCCGGGCAAAAAGCAGTTTGATATTGCACATATTATGATAGTAAGTATACATTTGCATATTGAAATGTCGAGCATCGCGTAACGGGATAATATTGAATTGCATAATTATTCTGCAGATAATAAATGACATCCTTTGTCAACCGCCCTTATATCAATATTTATATTTACCACTTTCATATCCAATTTTATGACTGTACATATTCATATTCATTAATGCTAAATGGCAATTATAACGAGTGATATGAATTTGGATACATGTAGCATGAACATTATTTGCCAGAGATATTTGATAGAGGGAGCGTATGCTTTTGGCATGAAAATGTCAACGAACTTGATATGAATAACAATAGATATACAATATATAATATAAGAATGAGAATAGTTTGAAGAATAACTGATGGAATTTTCCTCCGAGTGGCAAATTGCAAAATGAAAATCAGATTAAGATGCAATTATTGGTACGACATTTATTTCAGCAATGACAATACCCATGACGGTTTGCTGTTAATTATCTAAGTAATTGGCCGTGTAGGCATATGTTTATCACTTGACTGGTGTTCTTCGCATGTTTACAAATACCAGATAATTGTTCCGTGAATCAATGTTCACCGCTAAATGTCGTGGAGACAAAAATACTTATCAGTATTGACATATGGAACGATCTATACGGTATGTCATCGACGAACTGTTTAATAATACTTTCAAGTATGTTTTGAATATATTAACTGATTTCGAATATGGATGTTTCATACTCAAAAAGGATATGATATCATATGAAAAAATATGTATTGAAATTCAAGGGTATAACAAATGATTCATTCCGGAAATATACAAAGGAGTGTTGGTACATTTGTATAACATTGGAACACTTACATAGCACACTGCATCTGAAACATGGATAAAGAAATAACAAAGATAATGTTGACAATTTCGGATACCGCGGATGAATCTCATTCTTGTAACGATTTCTCGGAAGAAGATAGTTTCCAAAACTTGAATATTTTGCAAATACCAAGAAAACGTGCCACATCCTGTGGAACGGTAAAAGAAAGGAACGGGTTCATTAATGACGACATCAGACCAAGAACAAATAGTATGCCGACAAGAGGCACAATTGAAAAACCAGACACACAAAACTTAAAGAGGCAACTTTTTCAATTGAGCAAAAGTTCTGACGATGAAATTTATAACGTAAGATCTTTTGAAATAAACTCCAAAGGAGTTATAATAAAAATGCCTGATTCAGTACGCTCAAGAAGTGCAAGTAGTATTTATTCTTTAGACGGAGAATTTCATACAAACTCTGCACATTCTATTGCATCTAGCTCAGTCTCAAGAGAAAGTTTAGGAGAATCTCTTCATGTCATGTCACTTTCAGTGTTATCACCTTTACTTGTCATGGTCCTCGGTGAACCTAGCGTTGGGAAAACAGGCTTGACCCAGCAATTTATGACAATGGAATACTTGGGTGGATTTAATACAAGTGTTGGTGAGTTACAAATATTGTTATCAATTCATTTAAAGGAACTTCGCTGAGGTGCCATGCCTAAAACATTAAATTTGAATTCCTACCTAAAAATCCTAAAAATAGTTAAGAAATATTAATTAAAATTATATTTTATGCTACTCCTATCCCGATTTGGATGAAAAGCGTTGCAACGCTTTCCAATTTTTGTCAGTTTTCACAAGTAGAATAATTATTCTGGAAAAATGGAAGGAGCGAATAATCTGAAAGTTTGCACACAAATTATTGATATAGGCCTGCATCAAATCTAACAATAATCTCAAAAAATATTTCCAGTCCAGTCTAGTCTAAAAACCTCAGTGGAGTCCCTTTTAAAGACAACCAGAAACTGCAATTTGTACTCGATGTAAATAGAGATGGATTTATATACAATGATTATAATTGAAATTCTATTCTATCACATGGTACCTGAAAAATATACTTCTGGAATAGAAGTTGTTTCTTAAATATAGAATGATGTTTAGTGATTCTCTGTGAATCATTAAGTCGATATGTCTACAGATTTACGTAAACATCGATCACTTTCTTGATGACTTCAAACCATTTAAGCAATCATGCTGACAATTCCATTTTAGTTCCGTACGAAAATAAAAGAGACAACATCACGCTACATAATGTTTCAAGAGGAGACAAACAAGCTATTTCAAACAGTTGCTCTAAGTGCAATTTATCAACAATGTAATTATTTCTGTCTTATTAGCACTAAATGTTTATGCTTGAACTAGAAATAGAACAAATATTCAATTTCGATTAACATATTGCCAATACCACGCTTTTGCCTACAAAAATTCGGATTGATTCAATTTCAATTCTTTCAATATTTTGTGCTAAAAGAAATATAATAACAAGTGTGACTTAGTTTTGCATGTCTACATTCGGTTTAACCTCCCAGTAGTGAGTTTGCAAGTGATAACCGTTTAAAATCGCTATGACCGTGCCCCTCTTCGTTCCTTAAGATGGTTGTGTATAGTGACGCTTAATATGATGCCCTTTGTTGTCGCCGGTAGGTTCCCGATGCACGACAATAAGTATAGCATATTGTTTTGTTTTTTTTACTTGTTAATTATTAAAGTTGTTGTATGCTCCCCTTTCTACCCTTCTCAACTTTTGTGCTGTTTAACGTTTTTCGTTATGTGTCCTGCTTGGTGTCTTTGTCGGTAGGACTGGGTTATGTCGAGATTGTGGTCCCTTGCTGTTTCTTGTCAATGGGTTTATTATTTCACATGAGATGTAGCTACATTTAAAGGAGTGAAAGATAGGTTACTCAATCCGGATACATTTGTAGTACCTGATTTAAATGAGAACTTACATGTTCTTTTCATTTGGTTATATAAATGCAAGTCAAAAATGCCTTTTGAAATATTCTCTGTAAATCCAACATATTGATTTTTAATGCCATTGGCTGTAATGGTTTATCATTTTTCTAACTATTCAGGTCTTATAAAAGGATATCGAGTTAATATAACTGATAATTGAAAACAAAAGATAGCGAATGTAAATTTTAGTTAAAGCATAAATGCTTATTGTATACTAAAACACTTTTTGCTTACGTTCTCTCTTCTCTCTAGTTTTCTTGTAAACATTAAGACAGTGTTAATACTAGTTCATAGCATTTTTAAACTTGTATTACCAACAATTATTTTGCCTAAGATTGTTTTGTTATATTTAAAAAAAGGCAGAATTTTAATAAAAACGAAACAGTTTTCATTCGTACTATAAGTATACTTGTATATGAAAACATGAAGATGCATGGATATACATGTATATTTTCAACAATGTTTATCACGTTTCAGTAAACTTTGAAATGTCTCGTTACCATAGTGATTTTGAGGATACAAATATTATCATACTATTGTGTCCGCGTACGAGAAATAACAGTCAGTCATAGCAGATAATATTTGATGGACGATAATAAGATGTTATCACATTATTTGTAACTTAAAGAATGCGTACATATTCTCAACAAATTTCCAACATTGCATGTCACATGTGCACATTAACAAAATACACATGTTACAATAAATTTATTGTACAACGAGGACGTCAATGATATATATTTAAATATTTAAAAGTACACCAAAATTAAGAGGCTTTAAAGAAATATGAATAAAAGAATTTCTGAGGAATAATGGTTCTTTAACATATATGGAACTTGCATATTATAAAATACTTCCAATAATTCTTGCTTAACGTGTAACTGTGTAAGTTTTTTTCATCATGCGAATTTACAGTTGACATTTTGATCTGTCATTTAATTATTTTACATATTTCTTTCATTTTTTAAAAAGGGGAAATTCAAATTAAGAGAGTTCTTAACTATCGTTATATTGTTTGTAATTTTTTAGCGAATGAACATTAAATATCTTCTTATCTTGCTAAAATATCAATCAAACATATTCAAGCTTTCTGTATTAAGGTATGAGCCCCCTAATGGGCACTATAAGGAACTATAAAATTGACAACATAGGTCAGTTATATACCTTAAAAGACACAAGAATGCAAAATTTAAACAAACTTTACCGTATGGTTTACGAGTTATGAAGATTTTTCTAAAGTAAAACTTGGCTATTAGAAGGGCTCTTTTTCAGAAAAAAGAAACTCTAATCATTCTATGATATAATAATTATGAAATAATGTTTTCCTATAGAAAATATTTTAGAAACAAATAATAGCATTCAGCTAACAAATGACCCAGCAAAATTATTGTTTCTACTCAAAATGTTTGAAATATGTATATAAATGTTACCCTACCCCACCCATTTTAAGTAGTTGTTTGATCATTTTTTTACTTGGAGGGCCTTATTAAAAATATTCCTAAAATCTACTCAAATCAGGGGCTGTTTTCAAAGTTTGCATAAATTTTCTTTAAAGTTATTTGGATGCGCTTGTCAAATATAAAATACTTTTACCGTCTAGTTTTTATTTTATTAGACTTTGAAAATATCAGGTACCATATTTAATAATAAATTTGGCACAATTTAGCCAAAAGATACCAATAATAATTTTATAATTAAAATGAAACACTTTTTTCTAATCAAGAGTGATCTGAGAGACACAAATAATGTTCAAAGAAAAAAAAAGAAAGAAAAAAAAAGTTGCCTCTTCTGGGGCTTGAACCCGCGCCCCCTCAGTTTCAATGCGGTTGACAGTAGTTCTAGTCTATTTGAGTACTCTTCAAAGTGAAGGTAATGCATTAGGTGGGTCATACCTTAAATTTAATTGTTTCCTTTATTGGTTTATACAAATTTATTTTAGTTCGATTGTGTTGGAAGCTATTAGCTTATTGAAACACTTTCGAATCCGTTCCTGGAACAAACCAGTACTAAGCAATGAATGTAAAGTTTCTTGCTCAAGGAAACAACGGCTTGCCCCTGCCAGGGTTTGAACCCTCGCGGTCAGCAATCCTTAGATTACTAGTCCGACGCGTTAACCACTCGGCCACACCGCCCTTTATTAAACCCATTCCTGCGGAATTGATTCAAATTCCTTAAAAGAACATTTGATAACATTTTATTCCTGTAAACTTTGTCGGCAATAAAGCAATTCACGTCACTGTTATTCCGCTTTGATTTTTATGGTGTTAACAAAATGCTGAAAATGACTATTTATCATCCTTTTTACAGAATAGAATCATTACAACGTACCGTTATCAAAACATTTTACTGCTTAACTTTACTTTGATAACAGCAGACGAAACATTAAGCTAACAAATAATGATGTCATGAAAGGAAATTGATTTACGGAGTTATGAATGCATTTCACGTTTCAAAGACGGTTGGTTTTGAAAATATATGCTTAATAATCACCTTTATTTATTTAATGCGATTATAAACAAAAAAGAGACTGAAAACTACTTATTTCATTCCATAAATGTCTCCATTTAGCACAAACCAATAAGAATTTACATTTAAGTATCATTAAATGCAGTAATGCAGCTCGATGACGTATTTCAGCTAAAAATTAAAAGTCATAGGTTTTAAGGTTTCAGTGTTTACTGGCTATCGACACGCAAAATGTCTTTGGATATATTTTCAAAAGAATATATGACAAAGAAAGATATATATTATATTTACAAAGGCATACAAACATCATGTAAAGTATCAGAATGATTATTTCGAATATTTAAAAAAAAAACAGTTATATTTTCCAGGGTATTGATTCATAACGTAAAAGCATTTTTAATGTACATGTATTTAGCAATGTTATTTTTTTTCTGGTTCTTAGTTGACATATAACTATTAATAAAAAATTTCTTACTAGGGCAAGATACATTACAATGATATGTATTTCTAAGAACTCTATATTTACTATAGAAAACATTAAATGATATTCATTTTCAATCACATTTTAATTGCACAATTTACACAATCAGTTTTCTCTAACTATTCAACTATAACGTCTGTTTCTAGGATAAAATCAAATAAGTACAAGCGTCGCCCAAAACTGTTTCAGACAAAATTCAGGATACTGTCATTGAGTCTATAACAGCCAAAACTCACAATAGGAAGATTGATTCAGTCATACTTATGCTATACGACAGAGGAGAAAAAACTCAGTTTGCACTCTAAAATTAAACTGTTTCAATCATCTTTTCGCAACTTCTGTTCGTTAAACAGAGAAAATCATCGTGAAAAAAAATGTTTAAATCTTAAAGATACTTTCTCTGGTTTATTATGTAAAATAGTCAAAATGATCAGCAAAATATTAAACATAATCATGGAATTTTCAAAAGAAATTTAAGGTATTTCATGAACAATTAAAACTGAAATATGGTCAAATATAGTTCATATATAGGTTGAGATTATCCTAAGGTAAATTTAGGTAATTGATCTAAACAGCGTATCTTCCACAACAATATGGAAACGCTAGTTCACTTATATCAGTGGTTCTACATAAAACACAGAGGGGCATCTGAGGTCTTCCCCTCCTAGCAAAGCTGGCAAGTCGCCTTATGACCTCTTCTG